AGTATAACAGATTGCACTTAGATACTAATAAGGTAGCTAAATAATGCTAAACTTGAGTATTAAGAAATTCTATATGATTATAAATATATATAGTTTTAAGAATCTTAATAAAGTATTAGTAAAAGGGTGTGACAACTTAGTAAAGTGGATAAGTTGTCAACCCTCCAAGTAGTAGGTTGGGAGTTCAAAATCCACCAACAGCAAAAATTTGGAAAACCACCTATATTACATCAGTGTATATGGGCATTTGTGCAATGCTAGAGTTATACAAAGGAATGCAAGCCAGCATTGGGTGGTGCAAACACAAGATAAGTTCTTGAAACTGATACTATGACAATAGCTATCTATTAATCAGTTGGAATCAGTACCTGTAACATGGTCATACCAGATAACTGACAGATTATGGAGCATCTGTGGCTATATAAATCTGTGAACTGGGATAACTGGAAGCCTACTTGGGAAGATCCGAGTAGAGAGGTAACATGAATCTTTAACAATACTACTATAAAGACTAGATCTAGAGAATGGATACCAATATGGAAGGAATTAGATGGGCAAGAACCTCAGGTAAGAGGTACCATCAATCAGGCCACCAGAAATCTCGAACCGGAGGAAAAAGACCTTGAAGGCAGACTCTGGAGTACCAGAAACAGGTCACAGTCCTATTGAGCTATCTGAATTGGGAGTCTGAGGTTGGAAACAGGGGTATACTAAAGTACTAGAGATATGCTATAAAGTCAGTGCTGGGGTTTGGATGAACTCTGCAAGGATGAGCTCTGTTAACAAAATACTAAATGTAAGTAGTTAGTTAGCAAGGGGGCCTTCTGAAGTTCTACAAGTCAGGTGATGTACTCTGAAATGTGTAACAGCTTGATGGATGTACAGACAGAAAGGTCATAGTTAGGTTAGACAGCACTTAGATGTACAGGAACTTGTGTGCTATTTGCTAGTATAAGTATAGGGATCAGAGTGTTTAAAATAGGTAATCTCCTAGTAGATTGCAGGTATAGCAGCTAGTATAGTATCTGCTATGCGGACAGACTACTTAAATTAGATAACCAAAAGTTGTACATATGACTAGTTGTATACTTACCTTGTACAAGTTATGTAATCATAATTAAAATACAATAAAGGCAATAGCCACTGATAACTATGGCTTAGCAAAAGCAAAAAAAATAAATAAAGTATTAGTATAACTGCTTAAAATTAAAAAAAAGTTATATTACTATTATATATATTTATTTATTATATACTAGAATTATTAATTTTTAAAAATATATATTTTGGTTTTATTTACTTAATTTGCTAAGAAAAATTTATATTGTAATTATTTTTTATAAAAATAAAACACAAATTATTTTCTTAAGATTCTTTAAAACAAAGAAATGTTTTTATATAAAATTAGCTTAAAACAAAATTTTAACTATTATTAATATTATTTAATAAAGTAGTTAGGTTGTCAACCTTTAAGTGACAAGTCTAAAGTTCAAATCCTAGTGTTAGTAAAAATTTGCAATTCTTTTTGTGTTATAGTTAACTGTCTTTTAAAATTGGTTAGGATTAGATATCTGTTATCTATAATAAGTCTTGTAACTATGTAAATTACAAAAACCAGAAAGATGAAAGCTTATTTGAAAGACCTAAGTAAAAAGATAACCCAAAATTTTAATAGTGCTACTGTAAAGCTAGTTTATAAAACAGTCTAGAATTTGTAAATCTAAGTGAAGACAAATTAGTTTTTGGAAAAAGGCTGTTACAACTAGTCAAGCTGCTAGGATCTGTTTTAGAAACAAAGATTACATGCTAAAGAATATATAAACTAAAGATATAGTTTATTTATCTTTCTGAGCTATTTGGACTTAGTACTTAATTTGAATACTAAAATAGTAGGAATATGTTGTAAAGTAAGTATGAGGTTGAAGTGAACTTTACAAAAGCATAATGGTTTAATGGTATACTCTAACTACAAATGTTGGTTTTAGTTATAGCATTATCAGATCAGTTGTAAAAATAGAATACAGAAGATTCTGAAAGATTTAGTACAAGGTCAAAGGTTCTTATATGAATAACTGTTTTAAAAACTTAGTAATCATAATATATTTGTACTGATATCAATCAGAGCATCTTAGTAAATGCAAGTAAATAGATAAATATAGAAACTAGAATATTTAAATAGAAACTTACAAGTAGGTTTCAGGTATAATAGTTAGTATAGAACTTTTAGACAAACTACTTAAATTAAACAATGACTAAATTTGTATAAGTGGCTAGTTGTATACTTTTTTTATAATTGTTTTTTGTAGTTGTAATGCAACTATTAGCTAAATATACTATTAATAAAATCCTGGATTGCAAGTACTCATCTTAATATTTAAAAAAAAATTTTATTAATGTTTTTTATAAGATTTTTATATAATTTTTTTTTTAGTTTTATTTTAAAACATATATACAAATTTGTATATATATTTGGCAATAAAAAATAATAATAAAAATTCAAGTGTCAACATCTAATATATAAAATTTAAAAAAATATTATTAAATTAATGTCTTTTATATTATTTTTTTAGTTTGTTTACTATATTAATATTAGTTTTTCTAAAATTATTTTGTAAAATTTAATTCTGATTCTACTTGCTAAAATTGAGTTTTATGTAAAGCAATATAGTCAGATTAGAGTGTAGTAACTTAGTGAAGTGAATAAGTTGTCAACCTTCCAAGTAGTAGATTGTGAGTTTAAAACCTATTAATAGCAAAAATTTGAATAATTATCTATATAATACATAGACAGTATTATAGTGATAGCATTTTGTTAATAAGTTAGAATAAGATATCTGTAACTATAATTACACTAGCATGACTAGAAAGTCATAAGGCGTCTATATAATCTCAGATACATAGAAATATGCAAACTGATACCAGGCAATGCAAATCTAAGATAAGTTCTTGTAGTTGTATAACTTTGTTAAACTGAGAAACTGGAGCCTACTTAAAAATACTAAGTAAAGAGGTAGCACAAATTTTCAATAATACTATTGTAAAGGCTAGATCTAGAAAACAGATACCAATATGAAAAAATCAGAAAAGCAAAAATCTTGGGTAAAAGATACTACCAACCAGGCTACCAGATTTTAGACCAAGAGAAAAAAATATTAGACCAGCCTTAATATATTAAGAACAGACCACAGTTCTTCTAAACTATTTAAATTAAAAGTTTGAGACTAAAAGCAAAGATATATTAAAAGTACTAAAGATTTGCTATGAAGTTAATACTAAGGTTTAAGTAAACTTTGCAAAAGTAGCTTTTGTTAATGTTCTGTAGAGTAGGTAAGTAGTTAACAAAGAGAGCCTCTTGCACTTTATTGGCAGATATTGCATTCTAAAATATATAATGATCTAAAAACTAGTACAAAAAAAATAAATATCATATTGCTTAAATGGTATACTGGTTAGATACAGTATATATGAGAAGTTAGTTTGTATTATATTATAACAGAATAAATAATTAAATGATTTAAATAAATAATTTTTTAGTAGATTATAGGTACAATATCTAGTATAAAACCTTAGAGCAGTCTACTTAAATAAACAACTAAAAGTTGCATATGTAACTAGTTATATTTTTATTTTTGTATAAAATAGTTGTAATAACTAACTCAATAAAAAATTAATAAAGTTTTGCTACAAAGTATAATCTTTAATATAAAAAAAAATAAAAATAAAAATAAAAAATATAGTCAGATTAATGAATTTAGTAATTTATAATAATAAATAGTAAAAATTAATATAACACCAATGGATATTAATATCCACCCTTATATGAAGTCATAATTATGCATCATTTTACTTATCAATTGTATAAAATTTTACTGATTTAACTTTTTTTTACTTATTGTTAACATAGCTTATTCCTTTTAACTTTTTTTACTTATTGTGTTAACATAGCTTATTCCGCATATAAAATTTTTTTTTCTTGTTATTTTTTTGTAATCACGAATCTTTCTCTTGCTAATTGGCACTTTTTTCTTGCTTTTACGTGGCTTGACTTTTGTATGTAAGTTATTTTTTTCTTGTCTTTTTTTGTTTTATGTAGCTTTTTTTACTAACATAGTTCTTCTTCACGTGACACTTTCTCTTTGCGGCACTCCTTCTTTTGGCGTGGTCTTTTTCTTTTGTGACTTCTTTCTTTTGGCATGGCTTTTTTCCCTTGTGGCTCTTTATGGCTCTTTTGGTGTGGCTCTTCTCTCTTCATATGGCACTTTATATTTACGGCTCTTTGCTATTCACGTGACACTATATTCGCAGCTCTTCTTCTTTTGGCATGGCTCTTTTCTCTTTGCAGCTTTTTTTCTTTGGCGTGGCTCTTTTCTCTCGTGGCTCTCTTCACGGCTCTTTTGGTATAGCACTTTTCTCTTTGCGGCACTTTTCTCTTCACGTGTCACTTTTTTTTCACAGGACTTTTCACATGACGCTTTCTATTCATAGCTCTTCTTCGCTTGGCATGGCTCTTTTTCTTTGCGGCCTTTTCCTTTGGCGTGACTCTTTTTCTTTGCGGCTTTTTCTCTTGGCGTAGCTTTTCTCTTGTGGTTCTCTTTACGGTTCTTATGGTGTGGCACTTTCTCTTTACAACTTCCTTTTGGCGTAGCCCTTTTCTCTTTGCAGCTTTTTTTCTTCGTGCATGACTTTCTTCTTTTTATGGCTCTTTTTCTTATTTTTTTTCATGTGTCTCTTTTCTCTTCGCATAGCTTTTTTTGTTTGATGGCCCTTTTCTCTAATTTTTTTTTTTTTTTTAGCATGGTACTTTCTTTACAGTTTTTTTTATTGGTGTTGCTATTTTCTCTTCATAGTTTTTTCTTTTATGTAGATCTTGCTTCTTTTGTGTGGCACTTTTTTTTGTTGTGTGGGCTTTTCCTTTTTTGCAAGGTAATTTCGTTTGTTTTTTTTTTTTGTTCAGCAATGTTATTTTCTTCATCAAATTAATTTAACCTAGAAATTTTTTTCAGATGTCTGAAATTCAAGGTTATGAATATGATTTTGACAAATCTTATATGGACTATGAACTTTTGGAAGACGGCATCAATCTGGTTCTATCTGAACTTATAGCAATAGATGATGACTTATCAGTAATTGAAGAGGGCAAAAATCTTGTATCTGAAAATGGTAGTTTGGATAATGAACCTGAAGATAGTCCTCTAAAAGAAATTTATATTGGACAGACATTTGTCTCGTTTGACATGCTCGAACAATGTCTAAAACGTTATTCAACTAGAATGGGATTTGAAATGAAAATAGTGCGAGCTGAAAAGGAGGATAATATTTTCATTTGTAAGACATATAAATGTAGGCATAGTGGAAAATACTTATCTAAGAAAAAATTAGACTCTACGCAAAATCGAGATCGAGAATCTGGTCGTATTGAGTATGAATTTACTATAAATGCTTTATATCGGAAACATATGAATCTTGTCTTCGTTAATAAATTCATTGAGAATCATAATCACATATTAAATAAAGAAGAATTACATTTGCAATTTTCACCATCCTTGCGTAAGGGCCTGACAATATTAAAGAAGAGATCTGGTTTTATGTTCAGGAATGTCAATTAGGAGCAACTGTCTTAAAACGAATATTGCGAAATAAATTTCCTGATCAAGAAATTTACAATTGAGATCTTTACAATATAATTTGCAAATACAGAGCTGGAGCTCAGATTAAAAACGATGCCTCAACTTTATATGAATATCTTTCAAAAGTGCAACAAGAAAATCCTGACTGGTACTTTAAGGTAGACTTTGAAGGCATTGATAATAGGCTTTTCAGGATTTTTTGGATGTCCTCTGACCAGAGACGCTTATGGGCTTGGTTTTATGATGTCATTATTAATGACAACACATGCAAAACAAACAAATATATGATGCTTTTAAGCATTTTTATTGTAATTGATTCAAATAACAGAAGTCGTATTGCAGCCACAGCTGTAGTTTCTGATGAGATGGTGTCGACTTACGAATGGATCTTAAAACAAACTAAATTAGCTACTAATGGTCTTCAACCAACAATAATTTTTACAGACACTGATCCAGTGATGCAAGTAGCTATAACAAATGAGTATCCTGAAGCTATTGTTAGGCATTGTGCATTTCATATTCGGCAAAATCTAGTTAAAAGGCTTAAGAAAAAGCTTAATAATAGGTGGGATAATTTTATTTCTGATTTTTATGCTTTGCGAAATTCTCTTGTTGTATCTGATTTTGATCGTCGTTAGATGGAGTTAATGAATAATTATTCAGAGGTTCAAAGTTATTGTGATCAGGTTTTATATTCAACTAAAGAATGTTGGGCGCATGCATTTACGAAGTGCAAATTTTCAGCAAATACACATTCGATACAACGTGTCAAATGTATAAATCGTATTATAAAGTTAGAAGCAAACTCAGGAAGTTCTTTATGCCAACTTCAGGCTGGAATCGACTTGCGACTTAAGGATGAGATCAAGTATGCAAAGTTACAAGAATTTAGGAATATGAATCCCACTACTGGACTTCCGCATGTTTTCAATACAATTTTTAAGAAAATTAATGATATGTGTGTAAAATATCTTACACCAAATTCGTTAGCTTTACAACGAAAACAAATTTTAGAAAGCCTTCTATATAGGTCTTTACTACATAATAATGAGCTTAATGTTAGTGCTAGTCAGCAATTGGATCATAAAGTGGGATTTATCGAAGATGATTATGAGGAGCCACAGATCTTATTAAATATAGCTTTAGAGGATTGTTCCGATAGTGTAGTGATCGAAGTCTGGGAGGTCAAGCATATCCAAAGTACTACAAACCATTCACAGTTTGTTGTCTTACTTAATGACGGTACACATTATTGTACATGTTTATATTTGATATATACTGGATTTGTCTGTCAACATTTTTTTTCTGTAATGATCCAATCAAAAAATGCACTTTTTAATATAAAGTTAATACCTTTTCGTTGGTATTCTGAAGAAGGTATTGCTTTATTTGATAAAGATCAGGAATTAACTATCTAGCTAGTACAAAGTAAAAGTAAATCACTTCCAACTGTAACATTTGAGACATTAAAAAGAATTCGTGGTCAAGAAGTTAATAGTAAAATTGCAGTGAAATCAGATTCAAAAAAAGTTTCTTATGGTCGTGAACTCGGAATTTGTAAAAAAGCATTAAATATCACGATTATGAATGGTATCAATAAGGTTTTAGAGGACCTACTGCAACATTTTATTAATGAACAGGTTTTAGCACAAAGTAGTAGTACTGCTTCAAACTTATCTGAACAAGGCATAGGTCAAGAAATTAATAGTTTTATAATTTCAAACCCTTCTCAACATAAAGGCAAGGGGCACCCCGCAAATAAGAGATATTTGTCTGCTATTGAGAATCAGAATAACAAACTTGTTCGCTCAAATAATTAAGATGAAATATCAGAGTCTGGGTCAAAAAAGAAAAACAAACGTCAATGTGCTTTGTGTAAGTCATGGTATTATAATTCTCGAAACTGTTCTTTGAAAAAATAGTTATGAAGCTAAAAGCAAAAGATTAAGTAATGCAAAGGTGTTTATGTTTAGATTGCAATTCATGAATTTATGTTGTCATGAATTTATGTTTGTTAGTATGTTGAAATTGAATTTTTAAAAAATTATTGAAGGTTAAGTAACGGGAAGGTGTTTATGTCACTTATGTTGCAATCTATGAACTTTGGTTGGCATATATATAATTGTATTATCATAATTTTTTCTTTGAATATCAGATTTAAGTGTAGTTAGGAAAAGATATTCAGTAAAATTCGTAGTGCTATATGATACGA